ATTCCTGCTTCCTTTTTCATCCTAGGATAATAGGTTTTCTCTTTTACTGTCTGAACTGATTATCACTTCTCTCTCTTCCTGCCTGCTTTTCTTTATAATTATCAATTTGGTCTTTTGTTCTTTCTTTTTTCCTTGCAACTGCAATGTGCTTCTTCCTAACAGTCGGACAAGAACCGCTTCGAGCTAAACAGTAGTTTTTGGGTTTTTTTTTTTAAACAGCCTGTTAGTTTTTACCTCTAAAAACTAACAAAGAGCTGTTTCTATATCAAGAACAAAACAAAAAGTGGCTTGCTTTTCTGCTTTCTGCATGTTTTGGATTGTAGCTTCCAGACTAACCTTGAAATTATACCTCATTCCTCTCTGAAAACAATCTGTGTATTAAAGTAAAGAGAGTGGAAAAAATGTGTCTGTGAGCAAATATAAAGGCTAAGCATTTTATAGACTAGAAGATTAGTATCAATGACAAGGTTCAGAGCAGCAACATCAAAAGCCATAGCTATGCTGGAAATAAAACAGAGGCACCCAGAGATAAAGACAAAAAAAAAAGTTGCAGGTGCGTATACAGAAACTACACAGTACTTCACATTTTCATTTCATATTAAAACCAAAGTTCGGTATAGACTGTACAGGCAGAACAGTATGAAGAAAATCTACTAGCCTTTTGGAGACATGAAAAGGAAAAATAATTCCTACGAAGAACTCATGCAAACAATTTTTCAGCTGACCTTCAGGACATGAAGCTATTTTGCTTGCAAAAATTAAGACACTGGTGTTAACAGTAAACTGTGTGTACAGCTTGAAAATATTTAAGTGAGAAACTCTGCTAGAGATTCAGACTTGAAGTGCTTAATATGCAAAAGGAAAACAACGGGAATTAAAGAATTACTTTTAGCTGGATGAAAGACTACTTTGCTCTAAGCAATAAAGAATTAATAAATTCACAGCATGAGCACAGTATGAAAAATCCATTTGCTTGTTAAACTTTTGTATATATTCTTAAAAAGCAACACCATTGTCTACTTTGATTTTAAAGTCAATTTCTGTGATTAGAGAAATGTTTGCATGATAAAGTGAGCAAACAACTCAAAAGCGGTACTGAACCGCTGGAGATCTAGCCATGCTGTAAGGTAACGTATATAGCAAGTCAGGTTTCTAAAGTGAAGCTAAAAATGGAGACCCATAATTAAGGAAGAGAAATACAAAGTCTGTGCTTTTCTCTTTAAAGATCTCCTCAGACCAGCAGCAAAGGAACTGCTTTGGAAACTTTTGATGGAAAGTCAGGTCTGGCAGAAGGCATGTCTTGCTTGGCAGCTAACAACTTCACAAGCGTGACAGACACATTTATTTCCTAGGAAAGGGCAGAAATCTACCACAGACAGAACAGGAGTAGAAACATTTGTGACTGCTTTTGGAATGAGCAGCCAGAAACACAACAGAATCAAGTTCTGCATCTGGAGATCTGCAGATCAGTTGAAAGACATTAGAGACTGGAACTAGAGATTACAGTTGTGCACTCCAGTTCAACCCATGCCACTAAATGGATCAGTTGGACTAATGATTAGATTTTAAGAGCATTAGTTTTCTACTAGCAGAGCAAATTGATGCAAACAGTTCATAGCTGGGATGCTGAACAACAATGTTAAGACGAGAGGGGAAAGGAACGCGCGACCACAGAGGGCATCTCAACAACCACTCCTATTTGTCCAGCTTATGAATCACCTCCAGAATTCTTCAGTTAATGGATATGAACTAAACAGTCTATGTACCTCATTGTATCAGGATGCAGACTTAATTAAAGAAAAACCTGATTCTTCATAAGTTTACCTATAGGTCTGCTTTCTGTTTCTCTCTGGGGACTGCCTCCCTGCCTTCCCATAGCAGTCACCACCTGCCTCACTCTGCAGGGAGTGCGTTTTCCTAAATGCAGTGTCTCCCGCTCCTCAGGAAGTTCTACCAACACAGTGCATAGCAGCCAGAACATGGTTACAGGCATCCTTCCTCTCTGCTATCCATCACAGCCTCTTCATATTAGGCTTGTCATCTGCTACCCATCACAGTCTCTTCATATCGTGCTTGCCAATGGACAGAGTTGTTCATTGTGGGTATGTATCAGATTTGATCTAACATCTTTACCTACAAGTTAGTAAGAAGGTTAAATACTCCACCCCAAGCAAACAGAATGGACTTCCTTACCACCACCACCTGAGAAAAATATAAACACACGCACATATAAAGCACGTATCACTAACTATACACCCCTGCTTGCAGAATACAAGCAAACATAAAGTATATTCCATACTTTGAAAACTGGATCAGAATCCACTCACTTAGATTTCAGATAGCCCCTTAATCTCATTAAACTTTATATTTGGGAGGATATTTGTTTAAAAAAAACTTAAGCTTTTTTTTTTCCACATATGCTGCTTATAGAGAACTTGAAAATACTTGAGTCTTACTTGCATTTGAACCAAAGCTTAATTCCAAAACACTAACTCTCCACTTAGTTCTACTTTAAGCTTAATTCCCACTTTCACACACATCAGACGATTTTCAAACAGCTCTGGCCAAGACAACAGCAGATCACAAATCATATAAATATGTTTTCAAGCATTACTGGATTAAAATGGTTGCCACTTTATAACACAGTGACAGCACTACACTTGCCTTGTATATACAAAGGACATAATTATGTCCATTCCCCTAAACACCAAGAAATGTTATTTTCACCATAGTCAAGCCAGAAAGCAGGCACTTCCCGAGTCTTCTGGGATTGACTGAATGCTGTTAATAAACAGACAGAAGCATAAGTAGATTTTAGTCCTAGTTATGTCACTTGCAAAAGGAGCCAGGAAGACTTTAACCATAAATGAAGTAAGTGGGATATGATGAATCACAGTAAAAAAAAATATTACTGTTTGTACAATGTTTAGAGATGCTGTTGCTCATTGTAAGAGATACCTGGAGAAAATCCCATTCTACAGCAACACTTGAAAAACAGAGTATAAAGCAGTGGGGCTACATCAATGAAGCAGCAGAATACTGAATTCGCCATACTGAATAGCCATGCGAGGCCTCACGTAAAACAGAAGTTCTGTACAAAACCAGCACATTTACTGCACAACTAACATTAACCTGCAGAAAATCTGCAAGAAAAAAAAAAAGTATCTCGCTTGGAAAACAATGCTGCAAGATTTTTATTTTTGAAAAGTTGTGTAAAGAATCATTTCCTCTTCAGTTAGAAAAGATTATTACATGGTTTGACATTCAATCTAGAAGGTGAATATTTTAGTGTATGACCAAACAATCCCTTGGTGAAACTACCGAAAACTTTAAAAAACGCCTCTACGTATTATAGATACTTCCACAATATTATTAAAAATGCATCCACAGGAGACCAAATGAGCAAGCAGCCCTGACACTCTCCAGTTCTGGCATATGTGACTTAATCTATTTTTGCATTCTAAATAAAGGATCTGTTTTCTAAAAACTTGTAGAAACAGGAAAGAGATCTTGCCTACTGCCAAATTCTTCAGAGAAGGGTTAAGTTCCTGCTCTGGCCAGTCTGGCACAACATCCTAACAAGCAGAGTATGCATTGCTTTTTTCCTCTCCATACTCCAGAGTGAACAGTGCGCTCAAGAAGGGAGTGGTATCAATGTTACAAAGCTAAATGTTTCCCTCACAGTAGGAGGTTATTAAATAACTATTAATTTGCATAAAACTTCGTCAGAGCCTATACTATAGACTATACTATAGTTCAGAACTACAACAGAGTCATAGCTCTGAACTCACCAAAAAGCCAAGATGACTGTGACAGCAAGTGATACAAATTTAAAACAAGGAAGTACTTTCTGCCAGCTGAGGGAGGCAAAAAAGAAGGCAGAGTATCAACTTCCCTGTCATCCAAATATCACTTCCTTGTATTTATCTGCTCAGCTATTAAGCAGACCGTTCTGAGGATAGAATTTTTAATTGACTTAAAAACCGTAACACACGTTTAACAAGTAGGGTGCACAAATCCCATGCAGACAAGTCAAACTGGCGTTTCACATTTAAAGATTCACATTTAAGCCTCATCTCAGTGGAATAAGTAGAAAGGGAA